GTCGTCACGAGGCGCTATGTTCCAACTACTACCACACTGAACTAGCTGGCCTCTCCCACCCCAACTCGTTCTGTAACAAAAAAGGTAGAAGACAAAAACTGTCATAAGACCGAGCCTTGAACGCTGAATTGGGTTGAGATCCGTGTGGAACTATATCGTCACAATACCGCCTTCTATGACTTCGGAAACTCTAGAAGAAATGTAGAAGTCAACATACGTGCGGCTTACAGAGCGTTACCAAGTTACGTAGGGACATTAGGAGTCACCACAAATCACTGAGTGCAATATCAATCAGAGATGTAAACAATGTTGGCTTTCCGATTTCTGGCGTGAACTAAGGCAAAGGTCAAAATAACATCCTCGAGTTCACCAAGATAAGGAACACATGGCTCCCACTCCAGTTCACTCATATCGTCACTTCTTTATAATGCCAAACGCTGCTCTGGAAAATGCTAATCAGACGTTCCATCGAAAAGGTAAAGGGTTCGAGCTAGAGCTTGAGGTGATGGAGCAGCTCAGCTCAGCCAACGCTCAGAGATTGCGCGTTGACAAGTAAAAGATAGCCGAGCTCTCAGTTCATGTTATGCCATAAGCTGAGCCTAGGACATTCGATTAAGCCCCTGCTAGCGTGTCATTTCGCACAAATCGCGGCAGCGCCACTGCAGCACAAGGTCGATGGCCGTTAAACCTTGCCTCGTAAACGCCGTCGACGAACGCACGCACGCATATCGGAAAGCTCGTAAACGAATTGACGGCACACATTGTTGTCTCAGTTATAATATATGTCGACCAACACTGACGACCGGTTGGCTTTGCGCCAAACCGCGCCGCGAACGATTACATGTGACAGTTCACCTGGGAGGGACCAGGACCATAGATGGGTGGTGGAGCTGATATTCGGAAGTCGGGGTGGTAAAGGCCGATGCGCTAGCCTACCGGCGATGCTAGGGGTCGCCCACTGCAACCACAATGACTCAACCCAAAAGGCACGTTACTCGATCTCAAAGAGTTACTAACCCAGTGAGAAATTTCGCAACCGTCGTAGATGTCTGCACGACCCCGTTTGTTACCGTGAATAAAGGCCAACCGCTGCTTCAATAGGAAGAAGAAGCACTAGTAACTGATGAGGAAAAGCTGCTAGCGATAATGAGTCCAGCTCTTAAGTGGTGAATCACGAAAGCTTCGTGCAACGCGGTAATACCGGAATTATGGAAGAGAAAAGGGGTAGAGGGAAAAATCACAGCCAACAAAAAAAAAAAGACTTCAACGCACAAATTGCGAACGAGTACTGAAAATGAAGTTTTCTTTGAGAAGAGGAAACCTATGCAATTTGATATATC